GATACAGGCCGATACCGATAGGGGGCCGATTATATAGTGTATCCCTACTTTAAAATTATTTCTAAAAGCGTTAAAAAGCATTAATTTATAGTTACTCATTTCTCTATAAACCCTGTTCTCATAATGGGGGAGTGGTGGCCCAGTGGTTAGGGCATAGAGCTTGGAATCCAGAGGTTCTGAGTTTAAGCCCCACTCCCACAGACTGCCACACTGGCTCCCTGAGCAAAGACCCTTTACCCCACATTGCTCCCTGGGCGCCCCATGATGTCAGCCCACTACTCCCCAAGGGAATGGGTTAAATGCAGAGGTAAATTTCTCTAATGTGAGATCAGTAAAGTTCAATCATTATAATTATGACTTAGAATCTCATAATTATGACTTTGTATTTTTTACTTTCATGTGGCAGAAATGGGCTTCCATAGTGATCCTATCTTAATATGGCTGAGGTTTATCTTTAAATAACTGTCAAATTTTAAAAGCAAAATGTCAAATTGGTCGAAGCAACAAATCTGTTACAGGGTTTCCTGTCAGCATAGCTGGTGCCAATTTCCAGCAGTCTACGGGCAAAGGGTGGGGTACACCTGCAGACTTTTTTCAACATAAATCTTCTTATTCCTTTGGTAATTTGTCTAATCTAACCGGTTGAATCAAGGCAAAATATACACAATTAAAGAAAAAACAAAACATTTCAGCAATGTTTATTTTCAGTATAGGAGCCAGGGTCTGTTCTATAGGGACATTGGCTCCTGTTGGACCATGTCAAGAACCTCTCATGATTAAATAAGAACTTTCCTTGTCTAAATGGTGTTAGAAAGGAGTTAGACCTCTCTTTTATTCTTCAAAGTGTGACTGTAAAATTACACTATTGATCAATATGGTTAAATAGTTAACTTTTAACATGTTTATTGACAATACAAACAGCTGTAGACATTTCTATAGCAACACCATTCTGGCGGGGCTAGCTCTATACCAACTTTTTTTTTTTTTTCCCTATTGTTCCTGCTGGCTCTGATAGTGGGTGTTTTCTCCATGACGTCTTCATAGGCTACGTCAGCCACAGAAACAGCCTATAATCCCACCTCTTATCCGTGCGTCTCATGCCTGAACTCCTTTCATGGCGATATATCCGCTAGGATCTGGGCCAAAAATCACAAACTGAAAGACCTCAGTGTGGGTGTGTGTTATTTTGTCCACTCAGATCTTTGGTACATATTTTTTTTCTTCTTCCTGCTATTTTATGCTGCTGAACTTACAGTAAACTTGTTTCAGTCATGCTGGGTGCAAGAGTAACAGAAAGAAAGTGTGTGTGTGTATGTGTGTGTGTGGGTGTGTGTGTGTGTGTGTGTGAGTGTGTGTGTGTGTGTGTGTGTGATGCGTGTGATTGCATCAAAAAACAAAGAACTTTTGGGAAGTTTTTCTGTATTTGAATCAAGATTGAAAATGACCCTTTTTTAAAACAAGACTGCATAAAGAAATCAAAGCTCACACACCCTGGAGCCTTCCCGTTGAAAGCTTATGAGCTGCCGGTATTTAAAAGAGAAACATACGTCCTCAGGATTATGTTTTACTTTTATCAGTTGCTGCCTTTACACTGCACTAAAGTGTACCAGAAAAGAAAACCCAGATTGCTGGTTTTCAGCTGTGAGTATATATTTTTTAAATATACTCATTTACAGCCTATGTGATCAGAAGGACAGACATGCAGAGAGGCAACCAAGGTACTGCCTCCGATAATGTATCCAGGCTTACTTACAGTAGTTTGAACTGTTATTCTCAGAAAGGACTCAGGTTATACTGCATACAACAGGGCTATGGCTTTAGGCTATCAAACACAGGATTTGATTATCCATCCATCCATTTTCTCCCGCTTAGTCCTTGTCAGGGTCACGGTGGGGCCAGTGCCCATTTCCGGCAGTCTATAGGCAAGAGGTGGGGTAAACCCTGGACAGGTTGCCTGCTATCGCAGGGAAAACGAGACACACAAGGACACACAATCCTGCACACACACTCACACACTCACACCTCATGTCGATTTAGAGAAGTCAAATAACCTAACATTCATGGTTTGGACTGGGAGGAAGCTGGAGTACCCAGAGAGAACCCACACATGCATGGGGAGAACATGCAAACTCAATGCAGAGAGTCCTAAAAAAATAGAGGAAACGCATAAGCAACACAATATAATTTCAATCTAGGGCTGGATGATTTGGAAAAAAGGCATATCATTAAAAAAATGCATATTGATCAATATTGACAATTATCTAAAAGATTCTAGACACTTACTTCACAGGTTCCATTCTCTCTTTATGCTGTGAATTGAGAGGCTGAGGTAGGGCTCGGATGTGCGGCTTGACCAGAGGTCAGATGTTGTGGCGTACTAAGACACAGAATGCAGCTCATTTTGAGCTGATTCCCTGCACTCAAATCACAAAGACGGAAGCTGTCTTTGTCTACTTTGTATTGGCAGAAGTTCCTGAAGATTCCTCGGACGACGTGGAAACGCGCCGGGGCAACACAGCTCGTTCTCTATTGGGTATGATCGGCTTAGATGATAAAACATGTTGGTTGTGTTACCAGACTTTGTTTTTACTGGCTCCCTGCAAATTTTACAAATTACTGTGGTTTAGTTTCTGTCTAACTTGCTATAACCAAAATTATTGCCAAACTGGCGAGCTTCTGAAACCCTTCTTTGGGTTAATTTTTTTCACCTCTCCTGCTGCTACATCTTTACATGCTCTGTGTTGAGCTTTAAGAGACTGGCGCTTTTTGACAGCGTGCCTGGGTCCGCAATTGTGATTGGTTGGTGGGAAGTGGTGACCGTAGCATCAACCGACATAATAGGCTACAATGAAAAGGAAGGAAAACTGTTTTTCTATAAAGAACTTTTATCAACCCTTTTTTTATTGCGCCACATGCCTTTTGATCAATATATATTGTTATTGAAATGTCGTCCAACCCTACTTCAATAAAATCAAACTTTTGTGAAATCAAACTGTCCACTTAGGAGGCAAGCCTGATTGGCAATCAATTTCAAAAGTGGAAAATCATTGACAGTTTCAAATCCGTGTATCATTCGTTCTTTCTATTTTCAATTGTCAATCAAAAAACAAAAAATAAAAAATTGACTGGTTATTTTGTTTTTTGTTTGTAATGGTTAAACCAAAAACGAAAAAAGGATTTGTTTTTCATATATCAATTCTAAGCTCGGTTAAAAGAATACAAAATGGAAAAACGGACAGCAACGCAGAATTTGAGTTTAATATTTAATCGGTACAGTTTACGTGACCCGGAAATAGCTCTTTGCGCGGCAGTGGGGCGATGAAGTGGCTACCATGGCGACGGTAGAACGCTGTTTGTTGTTGCTAGTTAAAAGTACAGTGCACAGAAAAGTTTCAAGAAAAAAGTTATACCTGGAAAATCCTGCTGATTTTCTCCGTTGTCATGTCCTCCTCCTTAAGAGTCACACGCTTGGATCCTCGAGCGTAACTGTCCATGGCTGATAGGTCCGACTGCCTTATCTGGTGCAGCTTGATCGAACGTGGTGGGGGTAAGCCAATTGTTTTTTTAGCTAAAGCTCCACCAAACTTCCGGGTCACGTCAACTGTACCGATTAAATATTAAAATCAAATTCTGCGTTGCTGTCCGTTTTTCCATTTCGTATTCTTGATCTGAGCTTAGAATTGATATATGAAAAACAAATCCTTTTTTCGTTTTTGGTTTAACCATAAAAAACAAAAAACAAAATNATTGAAATGTCGTCCAACCCTACTTCAATAAAATCAAACTTTTGTGAAATCAAACTGTCCACTTAGGAGGCAAGCCTGATTGGCAATCAATTTCACAAGTGGAAAATCATTGCCAGAGGTATATATATATATATATATATATATATACATATACATAATTATCCAAAGGACCTTCATTTTTGAAACTGTTTTAGTTTACCACATTTTCTAGATGGCTCATATGACACTAGGATGCTTTCAACCACTCTGCCATCGGCCTAAGTTGTCTAAATGTATTCTATTATCGTAGTGTTAAACAGGTACAGACTTGTCTAAGGTGTATATCTGGTTTTTAATATATTTTGGGAGTTGCACTATCTACCCTTAGGGTGAACCCTCTTAGTATCAAGACTGGCAACTGTATTAAAAGCCTTCCAGTGGTAAAACATGCCATGGAATGATTGACATGAAATGAAGTTGAATTGTTTGGAAATACCCTTGAAACCCTTATCCTGAAGCTTTAAAAACAACATTGTGTCTCTTTGAAATTAATAGATTGAAGCTCTAGGTGAATTCTCACATGTTGTTCTACACTGTAGGTTGTTCTTATGTTATCTGAAAATCAGCAAGGATCAAAGTTTTTATTTTTTTTATTTTGAAGGTTTTGATCTGGGAAAGCTGAATAACTTGTTCTCTATTTCTAACAGATGCACACCCAAATGTACGGTACTCATTTCGGTCACACCCCTCCTTCAAAAGCTTCCGTCAAATTTTTAAAATACACAATCTCTGCGGTTGGAAAATACCTGCAAAGTTTAATTTGGGTTAATGTAGTTCCTTGGAATTCTGAGCTTGATCAGTTGGAAAACAAACCAACGGTTATTTTATTTTTCCAAACTCAACCACTAGCTACTACCACTGATTGCTACCAGCTCAGGCCCGGATCCTCTCTTAGAGTTCAGATGAGGTGGACTTTCTTAGACCATGACAATAGTGTCATCTGGAAATCACTGAGAACACTGCACCACACTTAAGGTAATATTTCCTGTTCAAGTTAATAATGTTAGAATGCCACATGGTTGAAGATGAAGAAGATAAGTTCTTAACCCCAGTCTAGAAGGTTATCTGAGGAAGAAAACAACAAGGTTAGAGCAGTTCAAGGAACTGCTATTTGAATGGTCAATATCTGGGTTCGATTTGAGTTGTCGGTTTTTCCTTCAACAGCTTTGCAAAACCAGACAGGCAAGTAAGTGAGTTGGGGAAAGGAAGAGAGACAATTGGGAGAGGCATTGGACAACTGAAATTAGTAACTAGGAATTGCTTGTTTTGGCCTAAGGATTCAAGAAAGATTTGAGAAAGGTTCCAGGTTATTTGCTGTAGGTTGAAAAAGGGACAATGTGTCAGAAGGTTATACAATCTGGTGCCATAGTGAAGTTCTGCTGGTCTTTTAAAGCTGTGGGTTGTTGTAGTTTCCCGTGCAAGGTTTGGCAAGTTGGAGCCTACTTTAATTATAAGTAGGGTATACGAAGGACAGGTTTCCACTCCATCACCGCCAGATATGAACATACAGGACAAACATGGATGGAAAATGAGTGACCAACTAATATAATGATCATTCTTGGTGAAGAAGGGCTGCACGGTGATGCAGTGGGTAGCCTTGTTACCTTGCAGCAAAAAGGTTCTGGGTTCGATTCCTGGCCTGGGGTCTTTCTGCATGGGGTTTGCATGTTCTACCCATGTACTCTAGCTTCCTCACACAATCCAAAAACATGTTAGCTTTATTGGCTTCTCTAAAATGTCCTTAGGTGTGAGTGAGTGTGTGCATGCCTATGTGTCTTTGTGTGTCTCTTTGTGTGTTGCCCTGCAACAGACTGGCGACCTGTCCAGGGTGTACCCTGCCTCTCGCCCATAGACTGCCCAACAATAGGCACCAGCCCCATTGCGACCCTGACAAGGACTAAGCGGGAGAAAATGGATGGATGGGTTGATTCGTGGTGAATATTTTACAACCAATAAAGAGATTTTTCTCTTGTAACTCTGAACCAGATATGATTTAAAACCTTTAACTTGTCCCACGCTTGTTAAAACTTTTAAAAACATTCTGATCAAAACAGAGTCATTAAAAATTAGAGTAAATCAAATTAATATCTCAGAGACAGCCCTCGCTTTATATCACCTGGATTTAAACAATGGATCTGGTCAGCTGGTCCCTTAATGCAATTGATCAAATTCTCTCAACTGGAAGACAGGGAAAAGGGGACCTGTCCTGTCCTGCAGGGACATACTTCGTGGGATACACCATGGACTCCTCGAAGGGTTGTAGGATGGTGTGTTTTACAATGTTGTTACTATAGGATGTCGAAGATGTATGGGTTTTTCGGATTTATGATACTGGGATTTCTTCTGTTTGGATTTGGAGGATACTTGATCTATCTACAATTACAGAGGATGTCGGCAGCAATTTGGGCATTGATCAGGCTGCCGGCAATGGTTGACACGCTCACAAAGGCAGTGAACAAGCAGGACCGTGAGCTGAGTCGTGCCTGCGGTGGTTGACCGCAAAGGTGAGATGGGATAATCTCTTGGACGTGCACGCTCGCTTCAAGGCGGAAAAGCCCAACAAATTCGAATATTGGATACGCCATGTGGAGCTAGCAAGAAAAGACCAGAAGGCTGACAGAAATTCCCTGTGCAGCCTGCTCTCAAAACATTAAGTGTTATTTTGGATTTGCCCCCCCCCTTATCAAACCTCCCCCTTGGCACCTATTGGAACGCTCCAATGGGAACATTGTGCGGCACGCATGGCCTCAGTAAATTGTTCCCCCTGCTAGCCCCCCCCACCCCACCCCCAGCCCAATGTATGTGAACGGTTTGTACTGAAACGGAAATCTCGATTACAATGCAAATTGTACTTGAAAATAAAGAAATGAATTGATTGATTGATTGACTGGAGTTTTGTTAGGATGATAGAACTTGCATTTGTTCATTTTTAGTTTGGCACCAGCTGGCTTAGTGTGCTGACAGGAAAGACTTGAGTAAAAGGAAGTCATGCAGGAAAAGTCCACCAGCTGTTACTAAGGCCTCCAAACTTGGTTCACACGCTCATCTTTCCTCCTCCATTGACTGTCAACTAAAGCTCTTGACCTATGCTGTGTACTTAAAGACTTATCCGCTGCAGGAAAGATAATTACTCATTTTGTCCTCTTCAAAAAAGGAGATTTCCTTTCTGCTTTCAAGACATTTACTCATACGCTTTCAGCTGAGCCTTGTTAAAGAAACAGGCTGAACTATCAGTATAGGGAGAATTATATCAAGCTCTTACCATAGGAGATTTATCCCACAGAGTTTTTTGGCCAAGTCAACACAAGTTGTTTCTCTAAATATAGCTGAGTAAGCATTGAATGGGTGCCCCGCTGTACAGGCTGTACTGTCTTTTGCAGCTGTAAATAACTAACCTGTTTACACTACTTCTTCCTACTGTGAACATGTACCTTAGCACTTTTATTTTACTCTATTGATCTTGAACCAGAATACACATGCATTTCTGAAACTAACAGAACAATTTTTATGTACTTTTAAAAAGAATTAGGTCATTAGTCTACATGCATTTTTTTATAATAAAAAGCCAGATGTAAGTTCAATAAATGCTTTTTGACCGTAGGAAAATATGGGGTTGAAATTAATTCTATTACATGTAAGATTTTGAGTGCTTCTCTGCTTGTTTTTACAAGTTCAGTTTTACTCCCTGTTCTAATCAGAACCTGCTCTACCAATAAGCTCTGGATTATTTTTCATATCAGCTGTGCATAACAGCTGTCTTCTTTTTTTGTCAGATAAACTCCTCATACAGTAAAATTTCCCATCGTCTATGTAAGATGTGATTGTTTTAACATCAACAAGAGCAAAAGATAAAGCCGGTACGTCGGTCAGTAATGACCCCCTGATTCACATTTTTAAACCACAACACGCTGACTGTGAGGAACCATAATGGCATAATGTGCAAGCTGAGCACTTTAAGTCATGATAAAGATACTCTGATCTGTCATTTTCTGTCCCTTGTGTGCCTGTTACCTTCTCATCACTAAGGATTTAATTACTGCTCCAGCCAAAGAGACACCTCATGAGGGACCAGGTGGAGGAGAGGAGAGGAATCAGGTGTGGCAGAACAGAAAGATAGCTCTGGAATATCAAAGGTTTGGCCTGAAGACACAGAGCCGAGAGGTGATCTGCCCTGACATGATAAGATTTGTAAATCTGTGTGTGAGGGAAAGCACCAAGCAGGTTTTAAGGAGGATTCAGAGATCGCTAATTACAACGCTCCACTGCAGGTAAGTTTCCATCTTATCTGTCTTAAGGGATGTCTCTTTTTTTGAATATTTCAGTTAATTTAGCAAAGATGAGACTTGTCTTGCTTTATATGGAGTAAAAAATGAAAACAATCCTTGATTTTGCTTTTTTGTTTTTGCTAATTTAGGAGCAATTTGATGTTGAAATATGAGAGGATAGGTTTCAGGTTGCCATGGGATGTAACAAAGGAGACCGTATCTCTGAAGTAACAACCACACCTCCCCCAACCCATCCTCAGCCTAAGACAGAGCACAGATTGACATATAGTGTAGTTGCTCCCATATTGGTAAACAAACAGCAGATACGGTGTCAATTTAAGCATGAGCATATGCACTCACCAGCCACATGTACCGGACAGTTTGAATTATTCACATGGAATCTGAAAGAATTATATCAAAGAGTCCAAATTTACTTTAAATTGTAAAATGTGAGGTATTTTTTAACAGTGGAAGATTATTACACAAAAGGTTCTTATTGATGTTTTTTTCTTCTTTTGGACTGCAGCAATTTTTGACATTTAATAAATGTGAAAAATCATAACAACAATGCTCTGGTTGAGATGCTTTACCTGCAAACCGTCTAACCCAAATAACTCAAATTTTTGTTAAAAAGATTTGACATATGTCCAAAAACATCTGCTTTTGCTTTTAAAAAATTGAAAGATTTGTGATGTTAACAAATTAACTGAATCTACTGATAATGAATGGCAAAAAATTGTAGTTAAAGGGCCTAAACAGTCCTATTCTTTACCATCTATTTCATTGAGATGCACATGCATGCTTCTCGTTTGCTTTTCTGCTAAATGAGACATAAAACAGGCAAAAGGGGAGAATATATTAACACTCTTGGTCATTTATTGTGCTATTTCATGGAATCGTCTGAGTTTTCCATCAGCTTGCACATACAAGCTGGTCTAGGAAGGGCAGTTGTTGTCACCTGCACTTTTTAATGATTAAAAAAATTAAAATAGTTTAAAAATGTAAACATGTACAAAAGATGGAAGTTGGCGGCAAAGAGACAAGACAGTGATCGGCCAGAAATTGTAATTTAGGAGGTCCTGCATTTAGAGGTGGATTGTTTTGATTAGGGCTCAGACAATGTTTGGTAAACCTGGTGGGTTTGGGAGCAGGGGTTTAAACCTGGTTCAAATTAGTTTGGACATTCTGAATTAGCTAAACAGTGTTAAAATAAACCCACATAAATCTTAGATGCTTATATTTTCATATTATATTGCATAACATAGTTAAACAATCTGAGGTTGTAAAGTGAAGCATAACAGCAAAATCTAGCAGATATCCAGCATATATCATGTAATGTAATGCAACTTGGCTAATATAGTATATTGTAGTCATGCATATCTTGACTTACTGGTACAATGTAGTGTGTCATAATGTTGCCAAGCAATGGAATTTGTTGCATAACAATTTTACAAACGAAGGATAACATAGTATCTAGGGTTACCATATTTTGATTTTGGAAAAACAAGCACACTTTGGAGCGGGGTGGGGGATGCATAGAGATAGAGATGTCTGTGGCATGCACTCACTTAACATAGACCTACGTAATCCTACAATAACATGATATTTACAGTTGATTTATTAAAAAATGCTTTTCAGTAAAAGTCAACAGCAATAACTCCAATAACAATTGATACTTTCATTCAAAATGTATTTATTAAAAATGCTTCAAAATTCCTGTAATGAATGAATAGCACAATGAAAGAAATAATGTCTCATCTAAACATCCCTCACTTAACAATAAAAGTTACTAACTCTCAACTCCCAATAACAGATGATACTCAGCCTCAGCAATGAACAAAATAATGTCTGCTCTGTAGGCTATTGGAAAAAATAAATTAACAAATGAGCTAATTAACAAAAAATACCTCTTGTGTAGCAAAAATTATTCAAAATGTACCAAAAACGAACAAACATATCAATAGACTATCTTTACTTTCGGTGTCCAGGTGGAATTTCAGATCCCTTGCACCTCCATTGGACACAGAGACATATGTGTCTGCTTTGCACACTGTGCACAAGGCCTCCCATTTGTCTCCACCCGGTCTGAAAGCGGGGAAACTCTTTTGTAAATCGTCGGTAAACATACATTTGCGCTTTTGCATGTTGTTGGCGTACTGACAGCCACTCAATATATGGCCGTTTCTCAATTCACGAGAATGCGAGTACGTACTCGCGTTCTCGTCAAGTCCGTTCTTGGCGAGAACGCAGGAAGATCGGACTTGACGAGAACGCGAGCACGCAAGCACGTATGTGTACTGGAACAGAAGCGTACTCGTTATGTCATCTCATGCAACGTTCTTTCGCATTTCTTTAACAGTCAAAACTATTTATTCCCTACACAAAACATTTTGAAAACAATATC